TGAGGTGGCGAGGTACGACGGAGGGGACATTTCGTGACAGGCGCAGTGCCTTGTGCGTCTTATTTTTCGGCAGACGATTATACGCAGCACTTGTACATGATTCTTGGACGTGCTCAAGCTCTCGAGTATTCCTTATTTCGCAATTTCGGAGACGCCAGAAGGCGATATTGATTTTTCGATCTTTGAGACTGGTCCACCTGCGTATATTGCCGAGTTTTTGGATCGACTGGAGGACTCTGATGTGCTTGTTGGCTTGTTTAATGTGCTGTGTTGGATATATCCACGGACTGATTGACCCTGCTCGAGCGATAAGATATGAAATAGCCACGAGTCATTCCATCCGCGCGCGCATGTGTCGATCTTGTATCATTGTTTGCAGGAGGTTGCGCTTTTGTCTCGCTCCGCCATCGAAGAAGCTCGCAGACATCTGCCTAGTTTTCCAGCCGCGGAACACCTACCGCGACCGACCCACAGAACACCAGAGGGTCGCTTTCAGTACGTCCCAGGGGCTTGGACGGCGGCTACGAAGGCGAGCGTAGTGACTGAGTTCAGGGGCACCAAAAGGAAGTACGACCCCACCAAGTGGCGTCAGCTGCGAACGGATTTCTGCGACATCTGGTCTCTTTCGCTGGAAGAAGTGGCCACTCCCACGGCACAATTTTTCCGAGAACACGGGGCTCTGCGTGTCTTTGCCGCCGAAGCTGGTGGAGGCGGCGATTGCTTCTTCTTGTCCACTGCGGTCGTCCTGATGCAGGCGCGAGCGGTCCACCCACGACTTTTGAATCTTTTCACTTCCGATGAAGTGACTGACTGGGACGACCGAACTACGGTCGCGGCTGCTCTCCGCAAGATTGTCGGGCGACACATGCGCGCCAAGACGCCAAAAGCATTCTTGAACTTCGTCGTCCGGTGTTTGGTGCGCGAAGCTGCGAGGACATGGCTGGACGACTGGTCCATGATCGCACTCTTGCGTGGCTCTCCTTTTGCTTTCTTGAAAGACGCCAACGATGTCCTCGGAGCAGAAGTTGTAGATGACGCCATGCTAGTTCGCTACAAAGAGGGCGACAGCTCCGTGACGAGGAGAAAGAGAGTGCGTTCTGGCACTGCGGCCCTGGTGTCTTTGCAGCGTGCCGTGAGTACTGCTTTCGAAACTTGCGGGAATACTCATTGGGCAACAGATGTCGACTTTGTTGCATTGGCCACAGAGCTCAATCTTGGCTTCATCATTGCTGGAAATACTTGGACCCAGACATCTGTTGTTCGAGGCCCTGGTGACACATCTAACAAACGTGTGTGCGATAAATCCATACGAATGTTGGACTAATGACATAACCTATAGGATAGTTTTCTTCACTTCCGTTGTGTATGTCTCATATACTTCTTGTCGATGCAGGCGAACCACAACAACGCACGGTCTTGCACTCCTATTTACAAGAAGATCAGACGCCGCAGTTGTGGATTTCTCTGTATTATGTGGACGGTTATCATTTTCAAGTGCTTATTTTCGAGATTTTGGGACAATGCCATTGTTTCTTTCGTGCCGCGGATCTGCCAGAACCTTTACGCCAGCGCCAGTGCTTGATTTGAATGCAAACCAAAGATCCTTCATGATGAAGACGGAGCTTGGTGGTGAAGTCCCCAGCGCATGCTGCCTTGGTGGTGGAGTCCCCAGCGCATGATGTCCAACAGCGTGCCAGAGAGTGAAAAAGAGATTCTGACCGGCTGCGTCTCTTTTTATGCGCAGTGGTTTGACGTATGTGTTGCATTCGGGTTCGTGGGCTCCATCTTGTTTGGACGGCCAAACTCGGCCGAGGACCATGAACGGCAGCGACTTGCCACGTTTGGCGGAAGCCTTGGAGATCGACGTGCCTTGAATGAGAAACAACGTGGAGAAAAACCGGCGGAGCAGGAGGAATCAATGGGGTTAACCTGAACAGTAGTTGGATGTGTATTTGGAAACAGTCCGGAAAAATTGGGACTACATGTGTTGGTTCTTTTGGTCTAGCCTAGGGTCTCTCCCTCATTTCCCCTTGTTTGTCCCCTTGTCTCCCCCAAACCCGACAAGGTGTTTGCATGTGGTCATGGCACCATCTTCAACCGTCACATGTCATGAACAAAGATGTGTGGTTTGCACCGGCAGCAAAAAAGGATGGCAAGATGTGAGTCATTCGAAGATCGCATACACAGATCACTCCATTCACCGATAGGAATGGTTCGGCCCTGTTTTGGAAGGTTTGTTTCTGAAACGCCCAAACTCCAAACGAGATCTATGGGTTCCCAGGATGTTTTTCACTCCAAACAGATCGATATTGACTGAAAGAAATCATGGTCTTTTTCCACCTTGGATCGCCTTTGATCGGAATGGCTGCCAGAGATAGACATCGTTGTTCACATGGAAAGCAAGGACCTTTGGGCTGAAAGCCAGCATGCAACAAGCAAGTGATTTGTTCCAAAGGTAGGTGCGGAGTATCCGTGGTACCTTCAAACTTGTGGTCCCTGGTTGAATTCTGATGGAATTGCAGTATGTCCCATTCCTTATAGGGGTAGCCCCACCCTGACCATGGGGTGAATTTAGTATACGCACTTCATCTATAATCGTGTTGGAGAGTTCCCCTCTTAATTGTTTGACCATCCACTGACTGCATCCATTCAGCAGCTTTCCGACGCCAGGCCCGACCGTACAGCACTTGGACTCCACCGTTTGTTCTTCAACGCCAATATTATGCGTTGTTGCTCGATGAGGAACACCTACTATTGTGATTTGGCGATGTGAATCCATGTGAATCCTAGCTTTGGATGAGCCAGGACCCGCACCCACACCGCACATACAACAACACCCAAACATCCTGGTCTCCTTCACCCCGCGGCGCTTCCACGGCGCCGCGCTTCACGCCGCGGCAGGTCGGCTTCGGCCGCACCTTGCGCTGTCCGAGCGCGTGGACCGACGGGACGAAGACCGTCGCGCGGTTCACCTTCGACGCCGCTCGGTTTCACCGGAGCGCCGTATGGGTCGGTGAGTGGTCCGGAGGCGTGGCCATTTCCCAGTGGTTCCTAGTGCATTGAACTAGTAACAGGTGCATCGCTAATAGTAACAAGTGCCTTACTAGTAGTAACAAGAAGCTACTTGTTACTACTAGCGATGCACTTGTTACTACTAGCTTCTTGTTACTACTAGTAAGGCACTTGTTACTAGAAGCGATGCCCTTTGCTCCTATAGTAGCTATATTTAGTAATTAGGTTCCTTGTGCTATTTAGGTTGGAAGCCATCGCTATGAGGTTGGCCATCGCTTCTAGGTTCTAGGCGATTCCTGTTGCCTTTTGCTATTGGGCTGAGTGGTTTCCATGCTGATTTCGGGGCTCGGTGGCTCGGTGGCTTGGGTCTGTTCGCATGGCGGAGCTTCCGGGCGTCCAGTCCACATTCAAAGCTTGCCAGGTGGGAGAGACGACCAATGTGGTCTTCATGCAGCGTCCTTGTTACTAGTAATGGCTTCCAACCTCAATAGTGATGGCCTTTCGCAAGGTAGCATCCTTAGTTCCCATTCTTAGTGAGCTTGCCAGAGTGCCTGCCGCCCGTGTTTTGGTGTTTTGTGCGCTTTCGCCGAGGAACTCTGCCGCCGGGCCACGGGACCCTCCGAATGGCTGGGGCTGGCCGAGAACGTCGCCGCCTGGAGGGGAAGAAACACACGCCGAGAACGGCGCCACCGTGCTGAGCTGGAGCGTAGGAGTGTGGAGGAGCATTTTTTGTGCCGTTGGTCCCAAAACACGACACAGAAAGCTATACATAACTGCCCACAGAAGACGGATCTCGCTCAATAGTGCTGCAAGAATGTGTTGGGCTCCGGAAACAGGTGGTTTGCCTCCAAAAGAGGTGGACGACTCTCCCGTATAGTCAGACATTCGGGTTGCGTGTTACTGTGGTGTATGACATGGACGACTCTCCGGTGGATCAACGGTGAGGTATTTGTTCCGCGAAGAGCGGGTCCAGAAAAGTTCAAGATTCGGTGGATCTCAGCATCTGTTACTGACTGGTGCTTAGTAGGGAATTAGGGAATGAGCCCCCAATAGAGATTCTATTGGATCCATTCCCTCATTCCCTGCTAAGCACCAGTCAGATCATTGACCACGGCTGGAGGCCTTGAAAAACATAACATCACCGGGTTGCTGAGAAAAAAAGCCGACAGTGCGGCATAGCTCTCGGCCTGTGGCTTTCTTCCTCGGCCGAACGACTGGACCGGCACGACTGGTGACGGGTGACTGGCGCGTCTAAGGATGCAATCCTGGTGACTGGGGTGCCACACTTTGAGGCCCATGCTGCTTGGAGGAAGTAGACATGGAAAGCGGGGCCCATGCTGCGGCCGAGGCTGTCTACAGCTGAGCTGTCTAAACCCAGCTGTTAAGATAGTTGCCACGTTGATATAGTTGTCCGCACGTAACCTTCCAACCACTTCGTTTCCATGCACACTGAAGGATCACAGGGAACAGTGTGAACCTCCAAGGCATGGGAAGGTGTGGGGAACTTGGGACAAAGAGGACGACAGCGGCGCTTGGACTTGCGGCGCGGAGAAGGAAGACAGTTGGGACACAAGGAAGACCTCTCAGTTCGAGCCCCTGGAAGAAGGAAGACCTCTCAGTAGACTAAAACCATCTAAAGCCCATTGGGCCAGGGGGGTTGGGCCATTTGAAGTACAGTACACCCAACAGGGGGTGTCTGTTGAGCTCTTTTGTTCTTGGAGATGACATGGTTTTTGCGTTAGTCCTTCAACCACTCAAACATGCCGCCTATAGGGACTGCAGGAGCACCTTTTCAGAATAGACTGAAACCCGGCCAGGAGGTCTCCCAAAGTGCACACCATTGGCCACAGACTGCAGCGTTTTTTCAGAAAGATGCACCATTGAAAGCAGTTGTTCTTTTCCACTTCGAGGTTTGCTTCCTTCAGGAGCTATAGGGCCAGCAAATCACTTGCTGAAGCGGAAACACATGAAACGAGTCCTGAAGTGAGAATAAAACCACCTTCCAAGGAATAGCGTTGTCTTCCGTTGTGTCCCCATGCCTGGTGGGACGAAGAACCATGGGGTGCACCGTGCGTCATACCGTTTTGGGATGATAGAAGGACACAGCATAGAGGGGCTTTGACCATCTGTGACCCACAGACCATCTAGTTGTTTCCAAGGACCCTCCCAATGGAACTGGTGCAAAAGAACAACTTAACTGCTCCAAAAGAACGTCCGTCCCTCTCCGTCCGAACCCGAAATAGATTCCCTGCTTTGAGGTCACAAACAGGCCTGGAACAGGTCACAAAGTAGGTGACGGTCACGAACCTTCAGAAGCTGGCACCCATTTGTTTTGGCGTCAAACGACGCGGTGCCGGTGCGACTCTCTCCTTCGCTCTCGGGGGAGTTCTGCGCACCGCATACTATCGCGGCTTGCGGCCCAGTCCGTCACGGCCAAGGTGGCAGTGAAGGCGGTGGGAAAGCGTCGTTCCCCAGGAATCAGTCGACCACTTCGCTCCTCAAAGAACCATCCCGATACCATTCAACCAGCCTCGCATCACACAGGTCAACCTTCCTCGCCATGTCAATGGTTCTTCGAAGAGGCTTCTGGGCAAAGTGTCTGGTCAAATGAACCAGAACTCCATCTGAAAGAGTGTTCGGCCATCCTAACTGGATTGCTGACATACGCCTGTAGATCGATGCATGAGGCAAAGCAACAAAACCACGAACAAGAGAAAAACCAAAGTCCCTCGAAATCCCAGCAACTAAACTCCGAAAAACCGCAAGATCTACAGACAGAGTCTTCGTGTGGGCATCCGCCAAAACGTGCTGAGAACTGATCCAGCGTGTTGTCACTGGGTCCTCAACCGGAAGCTTGGATTTAGAAACCAACCTCCACGCAAAATAAAGTTCCATGTGAAATGAGTCCTTCCTCCTCAGCCTCACCATCACAAAACCGCAGAAAATCAAGCACCGAACCAACAATTTCACATCCGAAACGTTGTGCTGTCCTCGTGGCAGACAGCTCAAAATTTCGCTCTTGGATGGAAAAAACTACAGAAAGTGCGGGTGCAGCTCTGCATCGCTCTTTGAGGCAGAGCGCTCAGTGGCTGCTCTTCCATCGCATCCGCATCCGAAACGGCCTCATGGGTTTTGGCCACTTCAAGCAGCTGCTCCTGACTGGCCCTGCAGAGTCGCTGAAGTTCCGTCCATTCCTGAACATATGCCGCACGAGTGGCCCAGAAGTCCTACGAGCGACAAGCATTAGCCAAGTTAGCATCTTCATCGGCACATAGATTGCCCTGGCGCCACCACTCCATAAACGGGCCATCCGTCCAAGATTCAGGAATATGACTCCAAACCTTGTGGAGTGAAAGAGGGAAAGACAACCGCTCTGCCACCCGCTGAACTCGCCACCAGAGATCTGCTGCATGTGCACAATCATCCGGGGAGGCGCCATTCATGATCTCCAGAAAGGTGTCATGGACCCATTGACTGTCCAGCCAGACATGCAGCTGATGAGACAACATGGTTGCAAACTCCGCCGCGGAAAGCAATGCCATCAATTCAGCCCTGCCAATTGACTGAACTATGCCAGGCACTGGGCCTGCGGCCAGAACCTCCTGAGGAGTAACCAAGGCCCATGCTGCTAAGGCAAGGGCAGGCTGTCTATTATACTGACAAGTGCCGTCCGTAAAGACATGCCTGACCGAACGATCCGAACTTTGAAAATCTTGAGTTAGATCAGGAAGATCAAACAGACTTTTCCAATACACCGAATGGTTTTGCAGCCTGGGGCACAAGCCATGGTGCGTCAAGCACACCCGCACCGCATAATAAGGATGAAGATGCGGCGCGGCGCTTCATCACGTTCGTGGACGTCGCTTACGACACCAAGCGCTTTTTGGGTATCACTGCCGCTGGGCATGGAGTATCGATCTGGCATTGGAGAGGTCACGTAAGGTCTGTGGTCGAATTCATGGCAGACTTCAGTAATTAATTGGGTCCGTCTATAGGCCCAAAACAGTTTTAAACAATGTTCCATGCAAGATGGGGTTCTTCATGCTTCTTCCTTCATGAAACCGCAGGTCTCGTGATGTCCCCCTGATGTCCTTGCCGCCCTGCGTGTTGTTGTGCGCTCCGTCGCCGTGGAGCACCTCAGGCGGAGTCGAGTCCCGAGGAGATTTTCGGCGAGTTCCTCACGAAGTACGGAGGCCGCCGGGAGACGACATCGCCCTGACGAGTACGGAGTCGTCCCGCCGTTCGTCGTCCGGCCTGCGGTTGTCCGTCGGGTTGGGAGCCCGGGTTAGACGACGTGTGTGCGCGAGTGTGTGTTCTGAATAAGGGGAAGCCTCCAAACATCTCCAAACCCATGGGATTTTCGGTTGCGGCGTTGCTTTCTGCTTTTGTGGGCGACATCTGGACTGTTGCGTCGTTGACTGTGACCACCTTGCCCCTTACTTCAGAGGGCACAGGTGAACAGATTGCGGGATTGACCATGCCGTTAGCACATTAAAAGGACCATGTTTCTCTTGATGTTCCAAAACTTGGACACTCAACATATTGTCTATATAGGACCCAAACCATTCTATGGTTCCTGAAAAAGCAAGACCAACAGTTGACACTGAGATTTCCGAACCCTTGACTTATGTCCATCCCCCCAGAGCCCACACAGTCAACGAGTAACGCTGCAAACACAGTCAGACCACCCCGGACCATCGGACGCCGTGGAGCTGCCAACCCGGTCCGATCGTGGAGTCCACGAAGTGAGGGGATTGGTGGACGAATCTCAGTGACTCCCGGACCAAAAAGCATATGGAAGCGGATATGTAAGCGGAATGTAAACGTATGTAAGCGTATATGTAAGCGTGCTATATAAGAGTGCTCTATTTGCGTATTGTACGCGTTAAATCATCATGTCCGGGAAGACATTTTTCTACGTAGTTCTCTACTTACTTGGGGTGATGGCTCAGTCCGTGAGTCGGAGAAGCACTCAAAAAAGCGCGATGTGTCCTGTTCACCGCAGCTGTTTGTCACAGGCCCTGGTCAATGATGTTTGGCCATATATGAATCGAGTAGCACATTGAATAGCAGATACCCTCAGGCATGCTCAAATCTCACAGAACCCTCTCAGACACGTTGGACTTGACCAGTTCGCAGATTTCCCTGATGCATCCCCAGGACGGTTTTTCCCGGAATCCTCCACGGCCCAGCAACCATCTCCGGTTTCAGCGTCGACTCTTCATCAGTTGTGGCCACCTTTCTGCGTGAGTCACGGCCATGACCTTCTTGGAAGAGACAGCGCATCGCCTGGCCAGCGCCTTGCAGATGCTTGGAATTTGAATGGATACCAGGGGCCCTCAAAACCATGAACAAAGCGGTTTTCACATGCGAAAACCATGTGTCCCTAGTTTTTTTGTGGTTTGTGGGCCCCCCGGTATCTACTATCCCTAGGGCTCCAAGGTGCTCCCAAGCAGCTTCAGTTTCTAAGGTGTTTGGGGATGCTTGGGGTGGGCGCCAGGAAGGTCCAAAATACCTTTCTGAGGAGAGACTTGGGGTATATGAGCTTCTAAGGTGTTTGGGGATGTTTGGGATACCTTCTGAGGAGGTACTTGGGGACTTGGGGTATATAAGACTATAAGGGACATTGGGTCAGACGTTAAAGCCCTTTTCGAGGGACAAACAGTCATTGACCAATTTGGCTCTGACCACTTTTTGCCTGTAGTTTGGCAGATGATCTTCACACTTCAACAGCTGGGAGACCCCACCCACATCGCTGAAAAAAGTGCAGCGGGAAGTGTTTTTCTCCGAGGAAGTTCCGCTCGCAGGGGCTCCTCTGCGATGTGGCGCTCATTGCGCCCGAGTCCAAACAGCTGGCACACCAGGCGTGGCACGGTGGTCCTCCCCACGCGCGGGAGGTGTCGCGTGGCGTTGGAAGAAGAAACAGTTCCACGTTGGTCGAGTTAAGGAGGCTTTTGGTGTGGGGGAAGACCCAGTCACCCATTAGTTTGATAGTCACAGGACCTGGGAGTGATGTAAATCAAGGGAGATTGAAGTTGTTTTTGATCAACCTGGCAGCCCTGCCACGAACTCCTTGGTCTTTCCTTGGTCTTTTACCGCCCGATGGCGTCGTTTGCGCAGGTTTCACTCTTTTGGCGTAGCCCGCTAGGCTAGCCCACTGTTGCTTGAGTAAAAGGCGGGTAAGCGAATGGGGATGCTTCTTGACTCGATTCATTCACATATTTAGTTAACCTAGAATTTGGTGCACCTCAAACCTTTCAGAATCTCCATGTTTCACAGGCCAGACATCCGATGTCTCCTCTTTCCATCCCATCGCCCGACCGACCGGTCGGTGTCCCGAGGTGATCTTGGCCGCGTCGTCGGGGCCACTGAAGGCAAGCAGCAGTCGTTCGGTCGAGCAGAACCAGTGCGGAAGTGGAAGTGGAGTGCCGCAACACACCAATTGGTTTTGGAACACATCAAGTGCCTGGGAATCTGGGTGTGTTTTTTTTTTCCAACTTGGTGTGTTCCCAAAGGGAGGTGGCTTTGGGCGACCTCGGTGCCACTCTCGATTGGCGGAGTGTTCCGGGTGGGAGGACCGCGGGCCCCGCAAAGCACCGGGTTTGGGGGCGGCAAACAGACCTCAACAAAAGTGGCGGGAAGCATTTGGATGTTGTACGATGTTGTATTCAGATGCAAAGGGAGAAGCATGTCAAAACACCACAGAGAAGAGTATAATGTGGCCCTCAGATTTATAACCCCCCCTAGAAAAATGTTTTTTTTGCCCTGCACTGATTTATAAAGGCCCCTAGAATAACGTCTTTTTTTTTGGGAGGGGTAGTTGTAGTGGAATATTTTTTTTGGTTATAGTTTACTGTTTCCCTTTTGATTTGCTTTACTCACCCTCTATTCCTTATTAACTTTCCCTAAGCTCTTTAGTTTTGAAGCTTTCCAAAAGTTTCCAAAAGTCAGCGCGCACTTTCTTTATAAAATCCCTTATTCAAAAGTATTGAACAACAAAAAGAAACATTCAAGCAAAGGGGGTAGTCCAGCAAGCAGCTTTCTGACATTATTTAGGGGGGGCCCTAGAATAATGTCTAGAGGGGCTTTAACTCTTTATTCCGTTTCTTTGCCTTTTGATTTGCTTTACTTACCATTGAAATTGCAGGTCTTTGGATTCAGATTTCCATTGAAATTTAAACAGTTAGTTCTATTTCCATTGATTCATTCCCTTTTATTGTAATTAATATTCTAGATGTCTTCAAAGTTAGGTTTCTTGATTCCTTTTATTTTAATATTGCCAGAGTAGCTCCAGAGGTAGCTAGCTAAGGATTCCTTTTTTTAACTATCAATTGATTGATTTTCTTATACATTATTTTGGAGGCCTTGGTTGTTGAGGGGGGGGGAGGGGGTTTATAAATCAAGGGACTACATTATCCAGGTGCTAAGTAGATTTGAGCACTTCCTGTTTTTGCTGCTGATGTTCACTGCTGAGTTTTGCAAGTGCAGAAGTCCAGCGGCTGGACGAGCATGGGCCTATCATAGGTCTACAGATATTTACAGACCTCCAATTTTGGGATCCTATAGGCCAATACAATAGAAGCCTATACCCATTGGCCTCATAGTTTTTGGGACTTGACGGCAACCGAGCGCCGACCGCGCGAGACGGAAGACTGAAGCCTCGCTCAGCACCGCCTGAAGCGAAGGGCCGCTCGACTGCGTGGCCGCGTGAGGAGCACATCTTTTCGCAGCACAAGGACCAGTGCTCCCCAGCCCCTGCGACTCGAAGATGAAAGGACAATCTAGTCTGTGGGTGATGGGGATGGGATCCAGAAATCTGGTTGTGTGATTGTGTGGTTTGACATAAGTTGCAGTACTTGTAGTTCTAGGTTCTTTGGGATGATGAATCCCAATGGCTAATCTTTTCTTGAGGGGAGGTGAAGCCACAAATCAGCAGACCAGGGTCACTTCACGGATGGGGATGGCTTCAATGCTGCCGAAATGTGCAGATCCACGGAGATCCCAAAGGCAAAAACAAACACACCTACCCCGTGAGTGGATAACCGTTAACCTTGTTTGGTTGATGGAACAGAAGCTCTTCTTTTTCAGAACGGATTGCTGTTTTTGGGGGGGTATTTCATTTCACGGTATTTTTGTCCTTCAGGTTAGGTGGGAGCTGATTTCTAGTGTTATCCCTGAAGCCACCGTTGAGGATGTGAAAAGATTAAACCGACCAATGGTCCGATGGGGATGTTGCCGATTCATGTACTTTTATGGTGATTGGTGTGTGAACCTTTACTTTTTTGACCTGTGCCTTTTTTTACGAATTCCTCCAGGATACTTCAGGTATAGAATCTTAGAAGCAACAAGTGCTGCAGGTCCCTTTTTTGGCGGGGCCATCTGCCATTTAGAATGTAAACATCTCTGCCATCTTGGCCTCCGACTTCGCCCTTTCGAACTCTGGCGACGTCCGGGACTGGTTGAGTCTCACCGACCACCGACTCAGGAGTTGTCCTTACCACCTTCGGCCCTGGAGATTCAGTTAGAGTCGCTCGGTGGAGCATTGTGAGGGTGTTCAACAATACGTGGTGAGGTGACCTCGGGGCGAGGGGTTGAGTCAATTTGCTGCTAAGAGCTTGCAGTCTCAGACCACTGGAAGCTTCAACGTCCAATGGGTGGAAGAAACCAACGACGCGATGTGGGCGATGTGGGCGAAAAGTGGTTTGTGGGATGGTGTTCTAGAGCAGCAACACCGCAAGTCACCGTTCCAAAGAATCAAAGATTGTAGAATGATGAGAATTTCTGCGATATTTGGTGGCTTTCATTTGGAGATATGGGGTGGAATTCGTGGAGGGCTAAGCCACCCAACAAGGCCTTCCTTTCCAAAGGATCAGTACTCGTCAGTACGTCGACACCCTTGGTACTCACTTCCAACCCCCTCGTGGCCGCACCTGTCGGTCCTTAAGAACCAAGAGAGGTTGAGAGACCTGAACTAGGACCCTGTACCAGGAGTCACAGAGCTCGGGGTGGTGTTTAGTCCCCAAGTGAGTGGATGTTCTGGGCACCTTTAACCTCCATGGATTGCACCCCTTTGTGACTGCTGGTAGTGGTAGTGGTACAGTACATATAGGATGGGCGACCAAGGGCTGTTCAACCACACTTCAGAATCACTTCGCGTTCGCGAATGGTGACTCGTCATGGTCGTCTATCGTCG